TTTGGTTTTTTTTTTTTTTTTTTTTTTTTTTTTTTTTTTTTTTTTTTAGTCCTAAAAAAAAGTGAGAAGGAAGGGGAGCTGTTGGAATGTTTCTTCTCTCCTCTGCCTCACAGAATTTTTGAACCAAACCCTGACCTTCATGCCCCTCTCCCACCCCAGGCTGCAGAACAGGTGACACAAGTGGGCTTACCATGTGTGCTCAGTTTCTGTCGTCTCCCCTCATGTAGTGGGTGCCCAAGGCTGTGGGAAGTGCAGAGTTGGGCAGTGGCTTGAGGTCTTGGCGGACGGTGGGAACGAGGAGGTGCCTGCCTTGCCAAACCTACCCACAGTCTCTCCAGGGTTCTTTCCACTGACCGGCTCTTGCCCCCAGATGCAGAGTTAGGATTGAAAGAACTGGGTGGGCTCTGGATGAGGTGGAGCCATGTGTGGGAAACACATGCGCCTGACACCAGTGGGCAGCCCCTTGCCAGGAGAGGTCTGCTTCTTAGGCCCATCCAAAGGGTCACCGCCTGCTGGCTCTCTGGAGTTGAACCATTCATTTGGTAGGGCTCAACCTCTGGAAAATGGCCTGTCATTTCCCAGTCTATCGCTCTCCCCTCCTGTCCTCCCTCCCTTCCCTCTTGCTCTCCACACTGCTCTGGGCCTCAGGGTTCTTTTTCCTACCTGCACTTGTGTCAGTGTTAAAATGTGGCAGTTGGGCTCAGAGAGGGCAGACCTCCTCAGGTGGGGCCCTGCTGTTGGCTCCCTAGGAAGATTGCATCTTCTACCTTCTGTCTGGCTCCCATTCACAGGCACTGGGCAGCAGCGAGGGCTCAGCACTGGGGTTGGGACAGGGTCAGGCTGGTTTGATCCCCACTTAGCCCCTGATCTCCCTGAGGCCACTGTCCCCCCAGGCCCTGAGGTAGGAGAGTTGTGTGGCAGCTACACTCATCCAGACACTCATGGACATGAGGAGGTCTAGGAGAGTCTGGAGTCAGATGGGACAGGGACCAGGCCAGGTGAAGTGGATAGGGCTGGCAATACATAAACACATGTACATGGTGTTCTTGTATGTGGACACATTGTAAGGGATGTGGTTGCATGTGCACATCTGTGAGCACACATGTCTCTATAGACCCAGCTGGACAGCAGCAGGATGCACACCCAGGGACCTGGCCACTGTCTGGTCAGGGCAGGGTGTCCTGAGCGAGTGTCCACCTGTGTCCATTTCAGGTGAACCACCAGCTGGGCAGCATCATGGACCTCTTCACCACTAGCCTGTCCCTCGCAGGCCTGGAGCCACCCAGTGACAGGGTGATCGATGGCCTCGACCTCCTCCCTGCCATGCTGCAGGGCCAGCTGATGGACAGGTTAGTTCTAGTCGGGTGCTCACCCCTGCCCAGCCTCCCAGCACCAACTGACCAAGTGATGGAGCCAGAGCTGGCTGAGATAACAGGTTTCCTTGCGCAGCTGGCTTGGGGCACAGGGATGCAAGACCTCTGGGACATTTTGGCATGAAATGCATCCTCCCTATGGGGTTCATCACTTCTGCCTTTACTGTGGGCAAGGAAGGAACATCCCTCTGCTGGAGTCACCAGCTACCCCAAACCCCTGTAGACCGGCCAAATCCTACCTTCTACCTCTGCACTGGAACGCTTCGTGTCCAGAGTCACTTTCTCTTCAGCTTGAGACCAGTTACCCATTTTGGGTTTAGGGCAGGGATTAGACAGGCTTGTGTTCTTTTTTTGTATTTAATATTGCTTATTTTTTCTCTCTTGAAACCTGGCACAAAAGCCTGTGTACTGTGGGGAAGGGAAGGTGCCAGAGGCTGTAGGTGCCAGAGGCTGTAGCCTCAGTGAGCTGCCTGCCCCTCAATGGGACCTGAGCCTCTGGCAGCTGTCTGCTACTGCTTCATTCTGCGCCCAGCCTCCCAAAGCCCAGAATGACAGACAGCCATGACCTTCCCCTGCAGTCTCAGGGACCACCGCAGCTCAGCATGGTCACTTCCATAAAATCTCAGCCCTAACCATGTGCCTGCGAGCCTCATATCACCTGGCCCTTCCCCTTCATCTCTAACAGGCCTATATTCTATTACCGTGGCAACACACTGATGGCAGTCACCCTTGGCCAGTACAAGGCCCACTTCTGGACCTGGACCAATTCCTGGGAGGAGTTCAGACAGGTGAGGGGGCTTGGGGATGTGGATTTTACACCCCCATACCCGGTCCTTGAGGATGCATCTGGGCAGAGAAGGCTAGCAGGAGGCTTCTGTGGAGTGGAGAGGGCCACATGGTCCCATGCTTCCCACCTTGTGGGTTTATCTATGGTAAGAAGGATTTGGGGTGCCATGGTATAGCCACAAGGACAGCCCCTTAGGATCCTGGATGCCCCACCCTCTCTCAGGCCACCCAGAGTAGGAAAAGGAAGCCTCAGGACAGGCTTAGACCCAGATCCAAGGCAGACACCTTAGGGCACAGGTGAACCCAGGGTGCCTTCCCCCGACCCCCTCTTGTTTTCCCCCTCTAAGGCCTGGTCAGGTGCTCTGTGGCCCCTTGGATGGGCTATCATAGTGTCTGCATCCCAGTGTCTGCCCCAAGGACTTGTGGGTGAAATGCCACATACATGCTGGGCCCCAGAGTTCTCAGCACGTGGACTGCTGCCCCTCAGGGCACCTTCTCTCCATTGCCTGTCCTACCTGCCTTTCCCTCCTGAGTCTCCTCTCTACTGCCTCCTCCTACACACAGCCTCCCCCCTACCCCCAGTGTCTAGGTCTTTAGACACGAGAAAAGCCTGCTAATGTGCCTTAATTGGGAGGAAAAGCAATTTAAGTTAATGAAAAATTTAAGTACTGGAACACTCTGCACCACTTGGGATACAGATTGCAGATTTAGCGGATCCTGGGTCTGTCCTGGGCTCGATGGGTGGCATGGCCAGGGGCCACCTGTGCAGTTCTTGGACCCAGGTGCCTTGCAGACATAGGCACTTGGGCAGAGCCAAGGACAGTGTGTGCTTCCTCCATGCGTCCCAATACCCATGAACATCCCCGACTTGTAATCAGAAGCACGTGTTGGCATTGGGCAGGCTCAGCTGGACCACACAAGCCTTTGTATCAATCTTCTGTCCTCTGAACTCGTGTCCTGTGGGCCTGTCAGACTCTGACAACAACCCCCAACCTGGCCTCTCCTAGAACTCTCAATGAGCAGCACAGCAGAGCCATATCCCCTGGCCTGCACTCATCTCCCCAGCCCCTACTTGGCCCTTCTGACTTGTGGCCACCACATCCTGTCCCCGTCCCCTGACAGGGCCATGCCTGGCTTGCCTCAGGGGTTGAGAAACTGTAGGAGCACCCAGAAAGGACCCAGAAGCTGGCAGTGTACAGACCCTAGGGGGTAGTCATATGGCCTCAGTTCTCCTTCCCTGCCCCTCCTAATCACACCCACAGCTCCGCCCATCCCTGGGTCTCTAGGATCCCCATTGTTAGCTGCTTGAGAGTCTGAGCCCAGCTGGTGGATATGGCGGGTGTTCTGGGAGCTGCCCCTCAGGCCTCCCTGTGGCTTCTGCCATGTGGGCTCTCAGGGCCTCTGGGGGCAGGGTCCAATCAGCCCTGACCCGTGACACAACTCAGGTTCCACCCACCCAGAACTCTTTAAAAGGGCTGGGAGAGCTTTTCCAGAAAGAGTGTCCAAAAAGTACAGTACCTGCACAGCCTGTCCTGACCCAACCATCTTCACAGTGGGGTTAGAATGAGTCAGGAGAGGTCCCCTCAGTGCATCCAGGTGATACCCCCAACTCTTGCAGCCCCCCAACCCACAGTGCTGAGCCGAATGCACTTCTTCCGTTCTCTAAGGGTTGTCTGTGAGAGCACCTGAGTTGGTTTGGTCTGTACAGCTTTTGTCTTCTTGAGAGGTGAAGCACAAAAAACTCCTTTCTCCACTGTGTGCAAACATTAGGGGAGGCCCTTGGCTGGTAGACACAGGATCAGGCTGTGGGTTTACTGCATCACAACGTATTTGTGGGGGACAGCGGCACTGTCATTTTGATGGCCCTTTTCCCTCCAGGGGTCAGTAAAACTAAGGGAGTGCATGAAGTTCTAAAGGACCCGTGGCCATCAACAGCTCCCCTGCGTACCAAGTAGACTTCGATCCTCCTCTGGTCATCTCCAGACGATTAACGCATTAGGGACAACTTTTTGTGTTTTGTTTTTTAATATGTTTTAATTGATTTCAGAGAGAGGAAGGGAGAGGGAGGGAGAAACATCAAGGATGAGAATCATTGATCGGCTGCCCCCTGAGCCCGCAACCTGGGCATGTGCCCAAACCAGAATTGAACCCTGACCACCTGGTTCATGGGTTGATGCTCAACCACTGAGCCACGCCCAGCTGGGTGGGACAGCTTTGTTCAGAGTCCACACAGGACCCAGCTGGGGCCCAACAGCCAGTCCTGGGCTGGCTCTGCTGTGAGGGAGAGGCCTGAGGTATGACCTAGTTGTGGGTATGGCAGTCTGTGGTCCCCAGGTTTGGGGGACACCTGAGTGGACCTTATTAGCTTCCAAGCTACATGCTTGTTCTGGGCACCTTGTAACCTCTCTTGGTACCCCCTCCCAAGTCCTGGGGTCCTGCTGTGGGGTGGTGCACCAGCTCAAGCTCTAGGTCTTCGTCCATTCATGACTGTTGGATGGTGAAGGAGGAGGGAGGGAGCATCTTCCCCTGCCTGGCCTGACGCCACTGTCCCAGGCAAGCCCTCGACCTCCCACCATGAGGGGCCAGAGGGAAGAACATGTGTGACCTGCATTTCCAAGGGCACACTCCTGCCCCTCCTCCCTTCCCACCCTCCAAAAGTCAGTGCTATGACCTGCAGTCTCACTTGCTCTAAAGGAAGGGGTAAAGGTCCAGGAGAGTGAGGAGGCTAGCTACACTGTGGTGCCCCCAGGGTGAGGCCTCACAGACAACAGTTGTAAGAGAAAAATCCTGTACTAATTAGTGGGATCGTAATTAAATAGCTTATTTGACTTGCATCCATATTACCATCTAAGTCCTCTGTCTAGACTTAGATGCTACTCCATCAACCACTCAGCATTTTTATGCTACATGCGGTCATCTTTCCCACTTTGCTCTCTAGCAGTTCTACTCCCAGAAGGTCAAAGGTCACCCCCTTTGGAAGCCCTGCATGTCCACTGTTGGCTGCCCTCAATGATTTAGACTACAGCCCCTGACTCGGAAATTCACTGCTCGGTGCAGATAAATGGAATTTCATGGGCTCCTAACTTCCCTACTTTATTGAAAAGCAGAATATGAACTGCTTCACTGACCAACTGTCCATTATAGACACAGGGGTTAGAAATGGTTTGTCCATCAAACGGCACTAACACTCTCAGTTAGTTACCATACATGGACCATGGCCACCTCTCCAGACCTGTCCACAGGGCCGTGTGTTGGCTGCAGACTGGTGCCAAGCCACTTGCAGGGCCCAGGAGTCACTAGTACCTCAGGACCGGGCCCTTGGCCTCACCCAGTTCCCCCAGGATGGCAGGGGGCTTTTCCTCTTCCCAAGTCAGAGAGCCCCAGGGACAACCTTCAGACCTTGGGAACAGAGCTGCAAGACCACAGGTCACAGATTCAAGGGAGCCCTTGGCTCAAGGCCACCTTAGGGCCTCAGGCCACATACTGACATAAGAAACTCATTCCAGATGCGCATCAGAGGCTGTACTATGAAGAAGCCAGGAGGCAGAGGCAGCTTGGAGCAGGACTTGCACATAGGGCTGTGGGTGCCACACCTGAGCCTTTGGGGAGCTGGGTGTTATCTGCTCCATCTTTTCCTGTTTTCTTGAACATATTAACTTGTCATTTTAGGGTCCTGCCTGTTAACTTGGGCATCTGGGTCACCTGTGGGCCATTCTTGTCTCTGTATATCTCTAGCTCTCAGGCCTGTGGTCCCTTCTCACTGGGGAAGGAGTCTTGAGGGAATGCTGAGCCATGAGGCAGATGGATAGAGTGGTGAAAAGCTTTGCTCTAGAACAGCAATTTTCACCCCGCGTGCCACAAGAATTTGTAAAACATGCAGTACCTGACTATTTAGTCAGGGGCACTGGCCTCTTTTCCTTTAGATTGTCAAATTTAAAAAATGACAACCAACACTAGCCATCCATTGTGCATAAATCAAATTTATACCTATTTTTTTTGTGTCAGATCGGCAAAAAATATATTTTTTGGTGTGCCATGAGATGAAAAAGGTTGAAAATTGCTGCTCTAGAAATTAGAGGCAGTCAAGGTGTGAGATGAACTAAAATACTTTAAAGATTCACCACCTCCTCCCCTCCAAATAACTAGGGGACAGTACACAGGGCATAACTGCTCAGCCGCTCTGGGGCCCAGGGTGGTGGGAAGGCTCCACCCTATAGGATCCCATCCTCAGGCCTGCTCGGGCCTTGACCACTCTGACTCGTTCAAGACGGACTGGCCAGCCGGCCACAGGAGTGCACACAGACAGGGCTCATCTGTTTTCCCTGCCTCTTGTTTCAGGGCATTGACTTCTGCCCTGGACAGAATGTCTCAGGAGTCACCACCCACACTCAGGAGGAGCACACGAAGCTACCCCTCGTCTTCCACCTGGGACAAGACCCAGGCGAGAGGTACCCCCTCAGGTGAGTGGGGTACAAGAACGCATTGAAGCTACCAAGGAAACATTAGCCAGGCCCAGCTAACTCAGGCATATGCCAACATGCTGAGTTTTCTAGAAGAGACATGCACATTGTGGACACTTGGAGATGCATAAATGCAGGAAGGGACGTGTGGGACCTCCTCTCTGCCTGGAGCTCTGGGACCTGTACTGCAGTTTTCCCATGTCGGGCATGTGTGTCATGGCCTTTTCAGGTGCCCCCATCTCCACCTTTGTGTCTCAACTCCATGTGGTCTGGCAATACACATGACCCCTGCCCCAAGCTGCCTTTGGGGATGGCCTTGGTGGAGGGTGATGGTCCAGTCATGGGGTGAACAGGAACCTCTCCACATGGCCACCCTCTTCCATGATGAGCAGCACTGTGGATGTAGAGGGCAGCCCAGAAAGACCCACTGAAGCCCTCAACAGGGCAGCTGCCTGCTGGGTGTGACAGCTTCTCCTAGTGAGGTTAAGGTGGGGGCTTCCTCAGCGGCACCTCACTTTACTAGAGCTTTATCCAGCTCAGAGGCCTGGGACTGTGGGGATGTGGAGAGCCAATGCCATGGATGAAATAGTGTCCCCCAAGTTATGTCCAGCAGTGCTTTGTTATAGGCAGACTGTGGTTAGAGCACATAGCCCTGCCCTGCTGCCCGCATGCCTTTACCCTGTCTTGCTGATTCTTCCACGGCTGGAGCAAACCTGGGCACCCAGGCTCAAGTTCCCTCGAGGTGGGTCATGAGGACAGCAGAGATGGCGGCTGAGCCTCTGATGATCCCCTCCCCATGGCAACACACATGATGTGGCTTCTTAGGCTCAAATGTCCCCAAGAAGGTTGAAGCAGTGAGCTGGCTGAGGTGGAGGACGCTTGGTACAAATCTGGCCCCTATCTCTACTGGCTATGTGGCCAGTTGGCACCACTTCCCCGCCTCAGCATTCTCCAAAATTTGAGGTTATGGGGCCTGCTGCTTGGAGCAAAGATGTATGAACAGACCCACCAGAGAGTGCCCTCCTTAGATCCACATTGTCACTGTTTGGGGGTGCTGCAGTGTTCAGGGTTATTGCCCCAGTTGGAGGCCCCCTTGGGTACCTGCCCACACCCCTATTCACAAGCCCCACAACACCCATGTTTGGGCTCCAGAAGAGGAGGCTGGGACCTGGGTTGGGACATGATTTGCCCAGGGTCACTTAGAGGGCACAGTTCTGCAAGAAGACCCTGGAGCTGAACTGTTCAGGGCTGAATGCAGGGCCTCCTGGAGCTTCCCCCCTGTGCTCACACTGTGTTCCAAGAAGCCTTGTCACAAAACTGTTGAACTTGGTTGAACCCATCCTTCCCAGTGCATTTGGCCACAGAATCCTGGAAAGACATGAAACACGCCTAAGACCAACTCAGCTTGGGGCTGTGCGTGGAGGGAGTGCAGCCCACAGAGCAGGAAGCGTCAGACTGGTGTGGAGGCCTGAGGAGCAGGGCTGACCTGAGGGTAACAATGTCAGGCGGTCCCCAAGACAGTGGCAGTCGCAGCAGGGCCAGCCACGCCTAAGAAACAAATCTGGGCCCTCTGGGCCCCAGGTAGCCTATCTGATAGCCTACCTGGGTGTCCTCCCCACCTCAGTGACCTGCTGCTCTCTCATCTCTAGCTTTGCCAGCACCGAGTACCTGAACGTCCTTCGCAGGATCACCCCAGTTGTTCAGCAGCACCAGGAGGCCTTGGTCCCTGGACAGCCCCAGCTCAATGTGTGTAACAAGGCGGTCATGGTAAGTGGTTTGTACATACGTGGCTGTTGATGCTGGGAGGATGCAATTTCTGTGGGTCTGTATGCCCTGGCTTGATCTTCTGTGAAAGTGATGCTGTCCCCACCCCCAACACACCATCTCCCATTGGTGACTGCCGTATGGACACAGGCTGAGTCCCAGCTTCTTTAAGAAGACAGTCTTAGTGACTGGAGGGGAGGTAGCTGACTTGGCCAGGGTGCTGCCGCCATCTCCTGGACCCCGCGGGAACTGCTGCAGCCTGGCCACCTCTGGAATGGGAGAAAGTTAGGGACCCGGATGCACGGCAGACAAGCTGGAACAGTGTGGGTCAGCCTCCAGGCATAAAGTGAGCAGTAAGTGGAGGGGTGTGTGGATTTATATGTGTGTGAGCACCTGTGGGTCTGGATGAGCGTGTGCAAAGACTAAGGGTCCCCTGCTCATCCTTTCCATACCCCTGGCCTTCCTCAATCCCTGGGTGGAGGAAAGGTTCCACTCTCAATTCTTGGGCCCTTCTTCACACACATCCCCAAGCTTAGCCCTGGCCCCCGTACATCCAGCCCCCCAGCTCAGACACCCACACACACTTTTACCCTCTAACTCACCTCTGGGGCCCCTGCACTTCCAGGCCAGCCCAGGTAAGGACATAGTGTGGTGTCCTCTTGCCTCTCTGACAAGAAGACCAGTCCCATCGTGTTCTTTGAGCAGTAATTGGCTGTCCTGCTGAGCATCAGACACCCAAGGTGCTGGCCCTCCCGAAGCCCTAGACTTGCAGTCTGGGCCCAGAATCTGTTCTGCACTCAGTTGCTGCTCTCTGCTCTGCCTCAGAGATCAGGAACAGAACAGCTTCCTTATCCAAACCTGTCCATACACCGGCAGCCAGGCCAGGAGAGGGCTTTCCCTGTTGTTGATGCTCCGGTTCAGTAACACTCAGACTCTGAGATCCTGTCCCAGAGTACTGCCTCCAGAGTGATTCTGAGTCCCCTGACTGTGGCACAAGGCCACCCCCTGACACTAGGGAAACATGGCAAAACCAGGAAGGTTTTGGTTTAGGGTCATGGCTCTCCCTTTCTGTTGCCAGGAAAAATATGGCCACATAAAGGAAGTCTGCACATTAAAGTACACAGCTGGGCTAGGGCTGCACTAAAACAGGCCGGCTCTTCCCTAGTCACAGGGATCCTGGCAATGAAAGAGCTTTCGGTGGGAAATCATGGGGAGATGTATGAAGCCTGCAGCCCTTGCTGGAGTGCGCAGCTCCTTCTCTATGGGTCATGTGCAGGCCCTGGCATTTGCTCTACTTGGAACTGAGGACTGAGTTCCAGGGGACTGAGGCAGTTAGCAGATGGTCCCCTTGGATAACAAAGGGTTCGGGCTAGGGCCTGGGCAGAGGGAGAGTCTAGAAACTGCTGAGTATAGAAGTGTGTAAGATAACTACACGTCCTCTTTCTGAATTTTCATTTTCCAGAACTGGGCACCTCCAGGCTGTGAAAAGTTAGGGAAGTGCCTGACACCCCCAGAGTCAGTTCCTGAGAAGTGCTCCTGGCCCCACTAGTACCTGCTCATGCTCAGGCCAGGCCTAGGCCCTCCCACTGGCCCTGCAAGTGCCTGGGGGTAGGAAGGGTCTGGCTCCCACACTGGAAGAGTCTCAACTGCTCTCTGCCCAGCCCACCATGAGGGAAGTCACCTGCAGCCAGCAGCAGGACCTGCAAGGCTATACTACCTGGCCCTGGAGTCACTCCTCAGCCCTCCTGGCCCATCTCATCCTGCTGCCTTGAGCCTAAGGCTCTACATCAATCCCTGAGCTGCCTGCCAACAGGTCTCAATACTCCCACCTGTCTCATCCTCCCACTTGGCTCTTACCACCTTCAGGAGCTGGAGGGCATGACTCTCAATGGATGCCCTTGGCTGTCCCCTCAAGCACTTCAGCCCTAGTGTCAAAGGAGGCTGTTCCAATCCTTTGTTGAGCCCCTTGGCATTGCCCAAAAGGGGCACTCCGGCCCCACCTCCCTGTACCACACCACCTGGAGGGAGAGGAGGCAGGGGGCCTCCCTGACCTGGATCCTCCATAGCCAAGGCCTCCCCTGCCCAGTGGGCACAGCTGCTGCTGCTGCTTCCCTGGAACATGAGGATGTCAGCATCCTTGATTTTCCTCCTTTCTTAGGGATCTACACCTCTAACCCCGGCACACTGTGAGGTGTGTCTGTGCCTCACAACCATCCTAACTGCCCTCCTCCCCTTGGCACCTGTTGTGGCAAAGCATGAAGAGCCCTTTCACCGGCCCAAATCAGAAGAGCCTGAGCAACCAAGGGCAGGCTCCAAGGCCCCTGCCCTGAAGGCATGTGGGGCTTCTTCCACCGAGTGGGGTTTTCACATCTGCAGTGACTATCTTGCCAAAGCTCTATTGCTGTAAGTTGGGAAATTATGAAGAAAAAGGTTTTAGAATAAAGTAAGCATTTTAGCTCTTGTATTTTAAAATGAGTTTGTTTGGGGGAAGTTGCCCCTCCTGGGTACCCTGGAGGGAGGATGCAGTGGTGTTCCCCCTCAGCTTCCTCCACAGACACAAGGGTGGGCCTCCAGCCAGGCCAAGCATTCCAGCCTCCTCCCCCTTCCAGTCCGGAAAGGCTGGGAAAGGCTTCCTCCCACCACAAACCTCCACCGCAAGCCGGGCACCACATTCCCAAAAGCCTCCGCTTAGGTTTGGCCCCTCCCCAGCCAGGCCATCCCAGGCTCCTTGGTCCTCCCTGAACC